TAAATTTCTGTTGTTTATAAATTACCAGTCTGTGGTATTGTGTTATAGCAGCCCAAATGGACTAAGACAATGAATGAATGAATATATGAGTGAAATGCCATCATTTCTACTTCAAAATGTAATTGAAGAATGCCAAGCCTGCTAATATTTTTATCAATAAAGACCAATGTAAATAATCCATTTAGTGCCTCATTTTCATCACCAGATTCTTTTGGCTACTCGTGGTCCTATTTGCCTTCTTTGAACATGAACTTATGAAGCATTTGGCTTTTACAGTCCAATTTCCTCTAGGACTGTTTTCAGTTAATCAGGAAAAGAACCCAAGTGAAGTCTGGGAAATTGGCAAAATTCAGGCTGTTTTTGGGGGATAGGTGGTAGGATAGGACAAAAGGAAAGAAAGGAAACCGTTTCTGTGTAAGAATCACACGTGATTAACTTTAAAAATAAAATTTATTTTTTACCTGATTATAAAAATAATAAAATAAAAATAATACGATTTCACTGTAGAAGATTTGGAAAATCGGTAAAGCACAAAGAAGGAAATAAAATTTACTTTTCGTATCATCATTCAGAGATAATAATGTTATTGGTGTCCATCACTTCAGTCATATCTTTATACAGTAGAATTTTTTTCCAAATTATGGTCATAGCCTAATATGTTTTTAGTTTGCTTTTACCACTAAATAACATATGTGAATACTTCCTATGTTATTAAATATTGTTCTATAACATGATTTTTAAAATTTCTGCATCATAATCTATAGGAGGATGTACCCCATTTCGTCAAATTTCTTACTTTTGAACATTTGAGTTTTTTCCATTTTTTTTCACTATTACAAAGAGTAAGACATTGAGTATTCTTTAATCTTTTTGTGTGTCTCAGTATTTATGGTATACGTAAGCCTTTTTTAAGGCTTTTGGCGCATATGGCCCAATTGCCCTCCGGACTGGTTGTGCCCGGTGAACTCCTGCTGATGGCGTATGCAAGTTCTTGCTTCTCACGCCAGAGATTAACTTTTCATCTGCAGTGACTTTCTGGCTATTTATGATCAGTATCTGACAGTGAACACACCACTTTCCTAGCTTTGGGAAGGAAGAGAAGGTCTTGAAGGCCTGGGTGTAGATACTTCCCAGAATTTACAATTAAAAATCTATTTCAATATTTTTCTTTAAAAGCAGCAAAGTCTGAGGTAAACTGATTAGCTGGCTCCGTGGCTGCTGCTCTTAATGCCTGGAGGGCATTCTCAGTGTTTCCTTCTTGACTTCAGAGCCTCATTCTTGGCCTAAATGAGCTGTCACCCCAGAAGAACCTCTGCCACCATGACCACCACCGCTTCTGAACTGAGTCTGTCTTTGGCTGTAAATTTGCCTTGGGGATTTTTCTAGAAGTTAAATTTATTTGTGTGGAGGCTGAAACTAGTCTCTTGACCACATGCGTGATATGAGTCACATTAGAATAAAGATCTAGAAGGGTGGTAAATTGTTCTGCCTAAATAGCAGCAATAATGGCTGTGAATATTAGCATTTATAGCTACAAACACTCTTTCTCCTAGTCCCTCTCAGTTCAATATGGGTTTGACATTTTTTTCATGATCTGTACACAAAGAGTGTATGTGTGTTATTTTGGAAATTTTGAACAAGTGTTCCATATGTTGTTATAGTATACTGCTGTAACCAAATGTTAACTCAACATACACACACACGCACGCACACACTTTACCCGTTTAGGGAAAGAACTCTGACTTTTTCTTTCATTGCTCACAAAACCGAGAAATTGGCAGAATCTTTAACTTGTAACTTGGCAGTATTGCAATTTACAGGCAAGAAAGGCAAGCCAAATTGGGTGAAAATTGTTTGAGAATTTTTTTGAGTCGTAGACAGTGAAAATGATGTAGCTGAGTGTGCACATTCGGACGTTTTCTGCTTGATTTTTAACCACATTCATTGGCACTGCCAGAGGCAGTTAAAGCATCCCAGTGAAGGCGTGTGATGTCCAGGGGAAAGTGTAGGGATTTATGGCCATCCTATCCATGCTGTTAATGTTAAAATGACTATTGGTTTGATTGTTTTGAAATACTGATTGGGGAAATTTGAAATGTGATTTTGTCTGAGTTTCTTAAATCCATCTTAATCATGAATTGTGTAAACATAGACTTGGGGTTTGGGAGGTCAAAATCAGACATGTTTTCAGGCCTGAGCTTTTTCTATGGGTTCCTGGAACATTCGTGGTGCCCAAGACACAGCAGGAATCTGACAACCCTGAGACTTTCCCCTTTGAATGCTAGGGGCTTTGAAATCGTCTTCACAATGAGGGAGGATTCATGAAGTAATGAAAAGCTGTTTCCTTTTTAAGACGTTCACACAGCAGCACAAACATCTGGGAATTTATTTAAATGCTCTGGTTCCCTGAATTACCCCTTTCCTTAACATACATTTTATTTATTTTTCCAAGGGGGATAAATTTCCACTTTGTGTTTTTCCCAGTTCAGTTGTGTTAGGTTCCTCATTTTAGCATTTAGGTTGCTTGGTATTTAAGGACATAAGGCAGGGCCCTATCACACAAGCTATCATTTGGGGTGAAGGGGATGTTGTCAGCTGTGAAGGGCAGAGTGGTATTTGTGTGTGGAACAAGTTTCTTTACATTAGAGTTTCACTTCTTATAAATTAAATAAAGAAAGAAATGGCTAAAAAGATCTAGTGTGTCTTTTAAAAAGTAATTAAGCAATAATATTGACTCAATACTGGAGTTAAGCAAATTTGTCATTCTCTTTCTCCTTTTCAGAACTTAATTCCTCTTTTCAATTTCAGAAGTCATGAGACTTCTCTTTCTTGTTCTTTCCCTCACCCTGCAATGTCTCAAATAGTGAAAAGGTATGTGTGGTGGAGGGAGGTGGTGGTAGGGCTGTGGTCAGAATGTTCAGGAAGCTAGGATGAGAGAAACCAGCTTGATTTCTGCACTTCGAACAGTTTATGTCTGTTTAGGGATGTGAGATCTGGACCAATGTAAAAAGTTGGACATACTTAAATATTTTAATATGTAACATCAGATGATATTACAGTCAGTGCAGTGTTTATAGCTTCCTGGATTGTCGATGTAGCTCTGTCTCTTTTTCTGTTTTACTTGTCATATTTGTAAAACAAGTGTGGTTTTAAATGTTCAGGATTGGGCTATTTTTGACTAATTGGACTGTATTATCATATGTGGCTTGTCAGTTTCAATGAATTAAAATATGAGAAAAATGTGAAATATGTTGATTAGTATCACTATACTAAATAGGATTTAATCTAGTTGATTTATTTAGTAGGCATTTTAGGATGTTACAATGACTACTGTGAACTTCAAAGGGTTATAAATAGCAATTGTTATAAGCAGCATTAGACATGAAAGTGTGGGGACTGGGCTTAACAGATACAAATTTAGTGTTATAACCAGGCAGTTCCTTATTTGAATACCCTGCTGCAAGTTTGAATACTATTCATTTGCCCTCATGTCATAAAAGTAGGTGGCAGAACATATTTTTTTAAAATTCTGGCTATATGAACTCACTAGTTTGTTTATTTAAAACAAGTCAAACAGTAGTTAATTGTGATTTATGGCCACTTTTTCCCCCATTGATTTAATCTCTGCTTGCTTAAATAAATGAAAGAATATTCTGGATTTTGCCTTCTCCACCACAAATTTAGGACTAGTGTGAAGTGAGACTATGACACTTGACTCTGGGGAGGTATATATTTGTACCTTGTTACCTGGGTTCTCTCCTCAGTGTTTCTTTCTGGTTCAGATAGAATTATCAACTTTATATCTAGGTCTGGTGAAAAGAAAACTGAGAGGGAGGGGCCTCCCAGTCCCCTATTTTCTGAAATGTCATGTTGCCTGACATGAAGGAACACACAGCCACACTCGAGTACCCTGTAAATGTCCATGGTTATGCCGAGTTCCCAACTGGGAGAGGATGCCTTGTGAGGAAATATAAGCCTAAGCCCTTTTGAATGTGAGGATATGTTGCAACAAGTCTCAAAAGTAGTTGATTGTTGAGGGCCGGAATTACACATTTGGCTTTGTGGTTCACAGAGCCAGAGCAAGGTTTTCATTAGCAAGGGTGAAAGTGCCTAATACTCTGTTATGTCAAACTTACTTGGTTAATGAGAGGAATGAGAGTTATGGGTGTTTCCGTTTGTTTTGCAGGGGTGTGTGTGTGTATGTGTAGAGGGTGTTTGGTGAGAGCCAGGCAGTGTGAGAACAGTTCTGGGGGTCTGATCTCATTGGGAACAACTCCAAGTTTCTCATCTGACCCTGGTAATCTTTGAATATCACTTAGCACAGTACCTGGCTCTTAACAAATGGGTCTGCTTCATAGCTGCAATAGAAATTGACCACTCTGCCATGTGGTCACCTTCTCCCTACCCCCCATTTGGCCTTTCATCCTTGGGTTTGGGTCACAACCTTTGGGGAAAGGTGGAAAAAATCAGGATGGCAATTATCCCAGTGATCTGGATTCTAATTAATTAAGGTGTACTTTTTTTGGGAATTGTGGCTATAGGCATTTTGTGGGAAGGATGCATTTCTTAATGAATAAGTCTGCCTCAAGCTTTTTTTGGAGGAGATATAAAAAATAATTAGCTACAAGGGGCACTGTTGAAAGTATAAGATTTACACTCAAGCCAAGAACTTTATTTGCATATCAAATAAATGACACAGTCATGCTTGATGTCTCAGAATCTCTAGCTATCATAATCAGTAGAGAAAGTGAAACCAGATGTTTTCATTTAAGCTTTGAATTGTGTTACTATTAAAATAAAAATCAAGTTTCCTTAAGTATCCTTTTAGGTCCAATCTAATCATTTCTCTAGATAGAATTCTCAGAAAGGCCAATGGGATTTTGAGAGTGGAACCTGAATTTTGCTGTGTTTAACAGTTCTCTGTGAAGCTATGTACAAATTCTGTCCATTTGCCATTTTGCTGTACGTTTCTTAAAGTGCTATTTTTGTTGTGGTTTCAGTGATTCTCATCCAAAACATAGCAGCAACGTGTCATGGAAAAACACTGGACTGGGAGAATCAGCTCTCGTCTCAACTCTTCCATTAAATGAAAGATTTGAGCTTTTGGAAACCACTTTAACTCTTTGGACCTCAGTTTCGTCAGCTTCATCGGTCTGCTATGTAAGCTCTCTTCTTTCATCTAACATTTTAAGTCTTTATTAGAATACGCATATCATAGTGAGCTAAAAGGATACTCATCTGTAGAAATTTGACATCTCAAGCTTCTGAGTTACAGAAGGTGTAAGTCTTAGCGTTAGAAAAGCAAATACCATTAACTTATTGAACTGATAATTTAAAAAATTTTTAATGTATTAAGAATAATATTTAATGTTTTTCACTTATGCCAGTGATCTATGTTCATTGCAGAAAATTTATGAAATTCAGAAAGAAAGAAAAAAAATGATCTTAATCTCACCACTCAGAACTAACCAGTAATATTTTGATATATTTTCCTTCCTTTTGACTCTATTTCCCTTAGATTCTATGCCATATATGATTTAGTTTTACAAAATTGGGATCATATTGTTTGTGCTATTTTATATCTTGCTTTCTTTTTCACTTGAGAAAACGTTGTGAGTTGCTTCCTACATCCTTATTCTGAAACATGATTTTTTAAAGCTTTTAATTTTTGTTTTTGAGCTATAAAACATACTTGCTGGATTAAGATTTAAGCAATAACTAGTTTTATAAAGCAGAAAATTAAACTTTCTGTCTCTCCACACACTGCCGACTCACTCTCTCTTTCTCTGTCAGATTCCCTGGAGGGAACTGCATTTAAAGCTTGGGGTATATTCTTATAGTCGTTAAAAAAAAAATGTAAGTATATAAATGTATGTCTGTGTGTGTGAGAGTTTTTTCCCTTAAGTAAGATCATTCCAGTCACACCACTTAACACTTTGTGATTTTTTCAGGCAGCATCACGGAGTGGCTATTTTCTAGTCAGTGTGTGCAGCCGGTTACCCCACCATGGTGGCTACACAGTGATCCCATCTATGGATGCTCGTTTTTATTTAATCAATCTCTTATTGCTGGGCATTGTGGTTGATTTGAAATTATTTTATTTTTCTTTAAAATGTGCTGCATATATATCTCGTATCCAAATCTTTGGGTGAATCTTTGATTATTTCCCTGGGATAAATTCCTATATGTAAAATGACTGGGTCAAATGTTATATACCTTTGACTTTTGATATGTATTGCCAACTTTCCTACAGAAATGTCATCCTGGTTTACATTTCCACAAGCCATGTGCAAGAAGCTCTGTCCTGCCCTTTTACGACTCTGAACTAGTCAAAATTTAAGGCAAAATTTTCGTAATCATTGCACTAATTTTTACCTCCATTTTAGTCCAGGACATTCCTTTCAAACTATAGGGAAGAAAAGTAATTCAGATTCTCTGGTGCCATGATCATCTTTGATTCTTCTGGTGAGTCTTTGTAAAGGACCTTTAGGAATTTTAAGTTTCGCTATACTGTATTTCTATTTTTATTTAGTATGATGAACCCGTAGATTACTAATTTATATGTTCCTTCTTTTAAATTTTGAAACTGGCTAGCTTATATTTACTTTCCTATTAAAATATAAATTCCTTTGGGAATGATAACATTGTAAAGGATATTGTCATTTATATTCCAGTAACTGGAGTCTGGTTTGATGGAGCTTTTAAAAATCCTTACTAGTAGGGGAGGGGATGAAAGCCCAAGATCAGTGGGTAGAGTGCCTTATCCTAGGGGAAGGGTCGTTGGTGGAGGAGGAAAAAGGGGATGAATGGAGATTCATTGTAATAAATGGCAATTTAAATACATTAGAGTTTAAAATGACGAAGGTTCAAAGCCTTTTCTTAAGTGTATGACAGTAAAGGTAACCATATTTTATATGCATTGAATAACACACTTTAGCGCTTGATTTTAGTGAATTGTAACCATTAGTAGCAAGCCACAGTATCATTCAGTCATTAAAGAAAAGTCATGTATTACATTTTAGTTGAATGTTTTCCTGATCTTTAGATTTTGTGACTCTGGAGATACACCCCAGTTACTGCTATGTCTTTTTCCTTGGAAAGAGATTTCCCAAATAGGCCATATTTTGAAATACAGCCAACAGCATTTTAATATAGCACTCTACTGTGGGGATTCAGTTTATGACAATGGAATGCAGCAATAACTAGTCACAAAGGAATTGAGATCGTGGTCTAATGGGGAGCAGGTTCAACCCTAAGCCGGCATGCATGTGTTTGATTTCTGGCCCTGAATTAATTAATAGCCTGGATTACTCTGTGCAGGTAATGTAGGTCATTACGATGTAGACATCTAATAAATAGGGATGGAATCGAGCAGTTCAGTGTAGGGTCCTAACACTCCATGATAGCTTCATTAAATCAGGTGGTCAAAATACAACTGGATAAAAAGAACACCTGAGCACTGAGTTCAGTTTATGCCATAGAGACAGGCATTTTATTCTCTTTGCCTGAGTTTCTCCAGCTATGGCAAAATCTTGGTACCAATAAGATATGATCTAGAATCTATGACCTTATTTCTTGGTTCATTTATTCAGCAACGATTTGTTGGCCATGACTATGTGTCAGGTCCTGTGCTACCCACGTAAATTTACAGTGGTAGGAGTCAGAGGAGTCAGGCTGGAAGATACACAGAAAAGGAGCCCACCCTCCATCTAGCATCCCTGAGTTCTGCATTGCAATGCAGATGCCCCAAGCCTGCTGAGAACTTCACCCTTGGCTTCACAGCAGGAGGGAAGGGCCGTCTTTGCAGTTATCAGTACCTGAACTTTCTTTCAGTATGCAAAATTTGGATATTAAAACTATCCCTGTCCTCATCTATCTTGATTCATGAGTTTCATTATGATACTAATATCGTTAGTCATTTATTTTACAGATGGCAGCAATTTGTTTTTGATAAGTAGCCCGATACCTTTTCAATCAGTGAGAGACCAACTTGTCCACACAATCCCATAGTAAATTAAAGACACATTCATACACCCAATTCACAAATGGATGCAGGAACACGCATGCAACTGTTAAGGTACCCCGCCTTGGTCCTTAATAATAGAATTTGACCTACAGTTGAGAAATACAAACTGAACCACATATATTTGTGGAAGAAATTATGCCTTAAGGGAAAAAAAAGGTCTGAGGCAGAAATGTGGTATTTGAGAAACAAGAATTTGTAAAACACCCCACTTTGTCTTTCTCAAAATTGGCACAACAGAAGCGGCATCTTGCCAAAGTGTCTTTAATCAGTATTTAACCTTACTGAGGCCACAAATTAGGGAAGCCTTCATCTTCAATCTTGTGAAAACCTTTTTTCTTTCTTTTTCTTTTTTTAAGTATCCTGTCATAATCAAGAGTAAAAAATTTAACTTCATACATCTGAATGCATTTATTCTTGGATTCTTATTTAATAAAAATTTTAGAAAAAGGAGCCGGCCTGTTGGTGTAGTGGTTAAGGTCACGCACTCCACTTCAGCAGCCCAGGGTTCATGGATTTAGATGCCGGGCACAGACCTACACACTGCTCATCACGCTGTGCTGTGGCAGCATCCCACAAATACAACAGAGAAAGATTGGCACAGATGTTAGCTCAGGGCCAATATTCCTCACCAAAAAGAAAGAAAGAAAGAAAAAAACACTTGTAAAGAAAACTCTCAGTGTGTTGTGTGTGGCACATTCTTTGAGGCACAGGAACCCAGGGGGCTCTAAGAAACACTTTGACGTCGTCAGGACTTTCTGTCACCTGGGATTTAGATCAAAACTGCAAGGCACATCTGTCCATCTCAGGACAAGGAATGTTTATCTCAGGCATTGATTATGCTCTATGTCTTGATGAAAGATTGGGATAGAGTCAAACCGTGTGTCTTTGTGTGTGACTGTGATATTTGCATTTGCCATTTATTAGCTAATGAGTTACTGGAGATTTGTGTTCTTCTGAGTCAGCCGATATTATGTAGCTGTTTTATTGCAGTCTGAAGTTGTACTGAAGAGTGCCTTGAACAGCATGTCAGTGTTGAGCAAGACTGACATTCACAAAACTTGTAACTGAATATAACATTATCCAATGCTAGTCTTGAAAATACAATGACTCTGCAAGAAATTGTGGAAAATTTAGAATGACTAAGACTTATATTTCCGAGACTAGCTTGGCTTTATGAGTTAAGTTCCAGTGTATCTTTCTCCAGTTTTCCGTCGTCCCATCTTGCCATCTCTAGACCCTGTTGAACAGCTCTCAGACCTCCACTCCTGTCCACTTTAAAGCCTCAGCTTCTCACATTTCACTCTCAGTAGTCCAGGGCTATTACATGGAGAAAGAAGAGAATGCAGAGGAAAGACAAAAGATTGATCAAAAGGTTGGAAAAATAGGGCTTCTGAAGGTTAAAGGAGCTAGGATTATTCAGCTTGGAGGAGAGAAACTGGTGGCTGGCTTGATAAAACTTTTCAGTGTATGAAGGTTTATTGTATGGAGACTGGTGTTCTCCTTGCTGCTGAGAAGAGAACAGAAGGCAAGGTCTTTCACTTCAGCAGGAGGAGGCTAGGTTGGATGTAGGGAAGAATTTCCCAAAAGCGAAGTTAAGCATTGGAATGGATTACTGTGGAGTCTCTTTTTCTGGAGATGTTTGGAAATAAGACAGAAGCTGATATGGGAGGAATGGTTTAGATGGGTGGAGTCTTGCCTGTGGCACCAGAGCATCACCCAGATGACCTGTGGATGCCCTTTTAGCAGATGTCGAGCCGGTGTTGACTTTGCCCCAGGCTTGATTTTCTTGGTATCTAACTGTTATTTGGTGGGAAGTAGTGATTGGTGCAGGGGTGGAAAGGAGGTAAAAGTATAGCCTTGGCACATGCTAAAACATACATAGCCCTCCTTCAAAGAATTCAGAGTGAATGAGGGGAAGGCCTATGAAGTGTGAAGGGCCCTTGTAATTTTTTTCTTCTTTTTTAAAAGCCTCAAATACTTTTTCCCTCAACAGTATAGCTTCTATGTGTTCATGAAAACTGCTCCTTCCTTGAAGTTTTCGAGATATAGAAGTATGTATGTATCTCTGTAGAAGTGTTTCATTTAGTTTCTTATTAATAAACTAATTAGATTTTAGGATTCTAGACTTGGATGGACACTTGGGGAGACTATTTAGTTTACCACAGGGGAAGAGTTTTTCTGACCTTATTAATAATCCCCAAATTGTATTGCCATGACAGTAATAAATATATAATTGTAAATATTATCATAAGAATTGAAGTAAAATTATGTTAAAGGCAACTCAGTGTGTTATTTTTGTTAAATAAGCTGTTACTACAATACTTTCTACTGAATTGAACTTTTCTGTTTTTTTTAAATTTAGTTCATCATTTAGACGCCATCTAAGAGATTTGATAATATTTACTCAGTTTTAAGTACTAAAAATTTGCATACTGGCTAATAAAATATTCTTAGTTGCTTCGAACACAATTATTGCAATAGAACCACAAGAAGGGATTGATTCAATACTCAACGCTGATTATGAAAACACACACACAAACACACACATACTAAACCACCTATAAACCCTTTGATCCTGAATAGTTAAGATGAAAGATTATACTGCTGCAGTTTTTAGTCTAGAGATTTTTCACTTTCAACTATTTTAAGAAGTTTTGAGATTAAAACTGTGTTTTAAACTTTACTTCTGACATCATTCTACAAAAATGTCATTAAAGAAAATGAAAGTAACATTTTACTGTGCAGCATCAGACTGATGAACTTGGTATATTTTTTCTCTTTTAGTCATTTCCTTTAATGCTCCATTCACAAAGATTCATAAAGAAGCAACTGCAGAGAGGACGTGCTTTGGCAGGCAAGGAGGGGCTTGTGCTCAATCTCCCACCCCACTGTCTAGCTTTGAACTATTAATGTAAAGCCCAGAAACCTGAACTCTTACCTTTCCCTTCCACAAGACGGGTAACCAGACCTATTCAAATTAATCTGGTGAATGTTCAAAAAGTTAATGGGTCAGTCTGATATTCTTAGGGCTTCCTAGATTTTCTTTGTTCTTACATGATACTCAGGTCTATAAAACCTGATTTGTTCTTAGGAACACCAGTAGACTGCTTGAAGTTGGATTTTTCATTTAAAGAATATAACAAATGGGGAAGTGAGGGTGAGAAACCAGAGAGAGTTTGATCCTTCTGGCCCAGGTAACAATAGTTAGTCAAGTCAACAAGTCTTTCAGCTTTGCTAACAATGGCAGCCTGACGCTTGGCTTTGCTCAGTAGTCTGTATGTGTCCTCTCTCTAATGAGAAAAGTCATGTGTTAACGGAATATTTTTTCAGCTTTTAAAAATCTACTGGCAGGTGATCCCTATTCCTTGAAACAGTTTTTGAAAGGAGCAAAACTAGAATGTTTGATGCATCTTATGGGTCCGTGGTAGAGTTCAACACACGAGTACACACACACACGTACTTGTTCTTAAGACTTCTATGTGGTCAAGGGATCTTGCTGTTCAGAACTCAAAAATTGGCCTAATAAAAGACACGAGACTACAGTACTTGCTTTGTTTGTTCTGTTTGACTGAACCAAATGTCTTCAAGTTTCGTTTTCAATTTTTATCGTAAAAACTGTGAAAGCAAGGTATTTGCTTACTCCTGGGATTTGATTCCATCTTAAAGACCTGGAGAAGAAGTTTTATATAGGTTTGAGAAAGCTGATGTTTTATGATGCATACATAGCACAAGGTGTAAAAATGTAAAGTAAACCAGTAAGAGTAAACAACAACATAACAACAAAAACTTAAAAAATATTCAAAGTTGAATATTAGTACATCTCTCACAGTAGAAACCTAGACTTTTAAATAACTACTTCCTGCATTTAATATGAGAAATCTCGAACGTTTGCAGCTAACAGGTGTGGTTGTATGTTTCTGTCCTCTCGTTCATGTTGGCCAGCTGTTCATATATTCAGATTCATTAGGTTCATGGGAGAATTTCTAGCACGAGCTCTGGTATAGCATTCTGGTTTCTCTGTCTTTGTGATGCACATCCTGTTGATGCTACTCATTATGGCAGAGAAAGGAATTCTTTTGTATTATGATTGTGCTACTGATATGCACTTGATAACTTTGGCTAAGATAATCATAAATCAGGTAAAGCCAAGAGTATTTTACCTTTTTAAACGAGCTATACGTTCCCCATGTGCTCAGACTAAAAGTTGTCTTGTAGGATGAAAGGGATGAGAAGTTTCATGGGAGATCATTTTTAAAGGAAAAAGGAATGATAGATAGAGTTAAAAAGCAACATTAGAAACTGTTAAAAGACTATCGTTTCAATGCAAATAACATCCAAGTTATATAAAAAACCCTGTGTATGATATGTTTATTATTATTAGTTTTCAGGCTTCTCAGTCTTTGGGGAGTTTGCTGGCCTGGATTTCTAGTTTAGTAGAGTACATTCAGCTGCATTGTGCACTTGAGTTCTGTGGAACTGTTGTGCTTTATCCCTATTTACCTCATCCTTGTGGGCAAGCATCTGCTTTTGCATCTTACTTCTTGGAAATGCAGCTGGATTTCTGGAATTCTGTGGCTGTCTGGTATTTTCTCCTGAATATTAATATAATTAAATTGTACCGATGGTTCTTTTTTATCTCTTCAAAATGAGTATACCCTAATAGTTTTTAGATTATAAACATGATATAGTTATATTGTAAAAATATGCAAACAGCATAGAAAAGTGTAAAGATTAGCAATACAAAAGTCCCAGAGATAACCACTGGTAGTATAATAACGTATTAGTGATCATCCTTACAGATGTCTCTCAATGTATATATATATTTACGTATAAATATATATAAGTAAATACACATTCACTTTTACATAAATGAGAAAACTGTACAAACTGTCTTGTAACCTTTTTCCATATTAATAACCGTAGATCTAGATCATTATTTTAATGGATGCATTATGTATGTTGTATATAGAATACTGCTTGGTACTCAGTAGGCCCTCAACCAATAGTTGATGAATGAATGAACAATAATTCATTTAACCAAGCTCCTGTTAGCGGACATGATTTATTTCCAATTTTTCACTATTGTAAATTACACTGCAGTGAATGTCCTTTTGCATCTTATTTGTTCACATGTACAATGATCTGTTTAAGGAAACTGCTTAGAAGTGGAATTGCTGGGTCAAAAGATGGAAATATTTAACAGTTTGACAGTGATAAAGTTGTCACATTGCTAAATTTATGCTCAAGTCCCAATATACGCTATCATCAAGAGTACACAAAGTCTCTTTCCACGCATTCTTCCTTACACTCTCATTTTTGTCAATCTTTCAGAATTTGCCATTCCGCTAGAAAAATTGCTGTACTGGTTTTATTTGCATTTCTTACATCACAAGCAGAATCTCTGTTTGCATATTTATTGGCCATTATGTATTTCTCTTATACATTGCCTGTTCTTTGTTCAATGGTTTTTCTCGAAACATCAGCGACCTGTTTTATCCTGCTGAAGTAGTTAATTTTATAGTCCTAAAATATTCTCCAAACAGGTAAGAAAATACTTTCTTTAGTTGGATATACTGATAATTGAATATGTGTAGCCATAGTTCTCATTTGTCAGAAATAGCAAGGAAGAGAATTTGGAGATTTTACGTCTTAGTGCAGTGTCTTTTTTGCCTGAGGACCACCACTAGAGTTTTGAGGGATTTGTCAAAGAGAAAATAGTTGTTTGGAACAAAGATTAGGTTGCCCAACATCTGGATTCCAAAAAGTGAGGAAAAAATAAGTTAATTATTCATATATATTAATACGACACACTTTATTTCCCACCACTAAATACAATATTCACCTTTCTTCTGTTTCAGCTTCAACATTCTTCTGAAATCTGTGTGTGAATATGTGTGCGTATTATTTAACCAGAGAGAAAGTCATTCCTAACCTCCTGTTTAGTGTTGGAACCATCACTTATTTAGTGAGGCCATTTTTTTCCAGACTCAAGTTGCTGCCGAATTCCCAATATAAAGAAATCACAGGGGTTTTAGTACCCTTCCACAAAGTGATAATAAAATGCTTATTTTTAAAAACAGTAGGTTATGTCTAATGGTATTATTTTAAATTCTTCATGTCCAGGCCAAAATGCCAGAAAATGAACCTCAGTTTCTTGGTGATAATAAAGTGAACTGGCTTCCAGCAGAGAGAGATCACGGCTTCTGTGACGGACTCCTGTACTTCTCCCTTCTCCAACTCCCTTCTCCACTGGCCAGTGCAGTCACCTTGCTCAGCCCTCTGGCCTCGCCTGGAAAACGTCCTCATCAGTGAGTACTTGTGGGGTTAGGGTGATAACGAATGTAAAGGAAAGAGTGCCTGTTTCAATTCAAATAGTTGGATTAGTCACAGGGATACCTAATCCATTTACAAATAGAATCCTCCAGCAAGCTTCTTTGTGTTCATCAGAGTATTTTGTACTCATTTAAAAGAAAAAAAATGAACAACTGAATGCAAACCATGCAGGAATTGTCCAGCTAACAGAGTTTTAATTTTCCTGATTTTAAACAGAATAAGCATTTAAAGACCATTTAAAATTTACTTTTTTGGTATATTTTTAAATTGTGGTTAAAATACACATAGCATAAAATTTACCGTTTTCACTATTTTTAAGTGTATAGTGTGTGGCATTAAGTACATTCACATTGTTGTGCAACCATCACCACCATCCATCTCCAGAACTCTTTTCATCTTGCAAAACTGAAACCCTGTACGCATTAAACACTAACTCCTCATTTTCCCCTCCCCCCAGTCCCTGGCAACTACCATTCTGTTTTCTGTGGAGACTTTTTTGAGGGATATTATATTATATCTCTCTCTTTTAAAAATAGGGTAGAAATCCATCAATCAGGAATAGTTTTAGGGGCATTCCTGCCTGGACACACAGTTGGACAGTCCTATAATTATACATCTTCCTGAAATGCGTTTTGGGTCGTTTCTACACAGATCTTTAAAAAATACTTCCTATGAGTACTGGAGGTTCTTGCTTTTCTTATCCCGCTAACTTTTTGAAGCCATAAGAATATCTTATTAAGGATTATGCAAAATAACCTCCTACAAATCCCGATATTATTACACTGCCCAAAAAACTTCAAAGCATCAGGAAAGTGTTTTTTTTTTTTTCTTTTTTTGAACTAAACCAGATTCAGCTGGCTACCCCACTTGGCTACAGAGTACTAAAGAAGAGGCTGAACTTGATCCTGCTGCCCTTGCATACACAACACTCCCATTGACTCTAGAGAAGACGTAAGTGCATGAAAGGATTCCAGGATCAAAAGGTTAGCTCTACGGGGAGCTGTGTCTGGCTCAAGCAATCCATTTTTTTTTCCTATTGACAGTGAAAACGTTTTATAGTTCTTTTTCAAAGTTTTTCAAACTTTTACAAAAACAGGCTACTTGTGAAAAACTGAGAAGGCATCTAATTGAACTATATCCAGAGGAGATCATGGCAAAGACCAACAGGGAAGAAAACATTTCTAAATCACAGTGATATTGGTCACATCATTTGTATTTTAAAAATAAAGTATTTGAGGCACAAGCAGAGAGAAATTTTCATTAGGCAACCTGGTTGGGCTATGTACCAGAATGTGAGATAAACTAAAACACAAAGCTCATGAGTTTTTATCTTTGTCTGCTAATGACATCGGTGGCAGGATTATATAAACTTTGCATTTTATGGAATCTGTGAAATAGGAAAAAGAATACATGCTATATCTAAATGAAGAGATGTGCAGATGCTTAACCAATATTTAATTCATTGCTGAGGAAATAAATGCCTTAAAATATTTTAAAAAGAGAAATTGCCTTGAGAATAATTAACAAGCAGAGTAGTAATAACATTTTTGAAGAAAGTGAGATACGAGTCTATATGTTATACTTCTCAATTTTCTCCATTCATTGGAGCTCCTTAGTGAATCTAAGCATTCATTCATTCACTTATCAAACTTTTTTTTGTACACTTACAATGCGCCCAATGTTAACCTAATAGTTTTCCAAAACTTCAATTGAGCAAGTATATAAGGAAGTGGATTACAGTTAATAAAACAGGACCCACAACTGGGGTTGGGGGAGGGGGCTGTATGTCTCAAGTGTTTTGCATCACTCTTCATTAGGAAATTTGCCTCAAGAATTTCTCTGGCTTCACCTGGAACGTACACATCTTGATTGGCAAGTGGCTTCTGTGATCCTACTCCTAGGAGTAGCTAATGTAATGTTTTTCTTCATATATGTACTAGGACAGAGAATGCTGTGTTGAACTAACTTGAAAAGCATGTTTTATAATCAGAAAACTGATTTAATGTCATTAGAGTTTTGATCTTAAGCATTTTCTATTGTATGAGCAATGGAAAGGCTTGGTGAGGAGCTTGTCGAAACAGTTCTCTTGCATTTTCACATAATTGGGCTCGACAGTTTTCTGCCATTGCACAGGATAACTGCAGTTGATGGTGTTTATGTTTTTACTTAAGGGCCATTGAATTGTATTAGAAATTTCATAGTACACTCTTGTAATCCTGTAAGTCATTTTTGAGTTGCATGATTGAAAGTGAATAATACTCATGCAGTTAAAGCTTTTTGTGTGCGTGTAGTTTTAGAAACAACCAGTCCACAGAGAATAGAGCTCATGAAAGAAATGAAAATACATGCTCATCCCCTCCCACTCTTTGTTGTCTCGGCTTATTCAGATCTGGTGAAAACATTAAGCCACTTAACCTAAGTGGTATTGGATAGCTAATTTATTCAGCTTCTGGAAGGTACCAGGTTAGTGCTTGCAGAGGCAGCATTTTAAATTTTGGGGAGAGGGGGTTCTAGCAAACTCTTCCAGTTAGCATGTGTCCAAAGGCCCGCAGAAATAAGGTACTTCTTTTTTCAATGACCTTAGCTTTTCTTGGGAATTTTTAGATGTTTTATGGGTTACGTTCTTATTTGGTGGTTAAGATGGCTTGCTGAAATGGATCTAGAAAGACTCAGGGCATTGACTGATTGAAAAAGAGTTATTGAGTGGGCACTCAGGGAGAAAATCAAGGAGATGTGACAAGGAGCAGTTTCTCTTTCTGGCTCCCAGATCTCTCTTTTAGCCAATTAAAATTAAGGTCTGCCGTTTTCCTATTTGTGTCATTCAGGCCATTGTTTCCAGAAGGGGCTTGCTAGAATTCAAAGATGTTCCTTTGGGGCATTAGCATATCGGTTTAGATGAGTTTGTTAGACTAACTAAGCAGTTACCTATGGAACTAAGAAAGAAGCGTCTAGGAGGAGTTAGGGCATAGACATTCAGATGTTAACAGAAAAAGAAGTTGGAGGAAGAAAGATCCTGGGAATATAATAACATCTGCAGAAGGTAGCCCAGGGGTAGTCACATAGCATGGAATTTTGGCAGCTTGACTTAGCATAAACATCCCAGAATGATGGTTTTGTTGGGGATGGGGATGATGGAAACAATAGAGTACCTCCTGTAAAGAGAGTTTAGGTATTGCTGAAGACAAATGTAACCTCTTTCATTTGGAGTTTGGTCTTTACAGTAGCTCTTCATGGGAGATTAGAAGGCCTTAGCCTATATATGGGAAAAGGCTTTCTCTCAAGTCTTCACTCTGCTTGATCAAGGCTGCTTGGGTTGGGGTGCTGGGTCAAGAGAAGTTCTGAAGCCGATTCCAGACTTAGAGGAAAGAATTTCACCATTTAATGATTCCTGCCATGGTCCAATGGGAAGGAGTGATCATTGCAGCTTTAGACTCTGCTGCATTTTTGAGGATTTGGTGTATCAGCAATGGCAGTGATGACTCAGTCCCCAGTCCTCACAAGTGTGTGAAGAACTTGGGACATCCAGCTAATGAATCTACAAGAGTTCCAAGCAGCCTTGATGGGCTTCAGCATTCTCCTTAGATATTTGTGTTAACCTGGAAAATTGCTTCTTGAAGAGAAAAGGAAGTGATATTTTTAGAATTGGATCAGCATTTCCAGCACATCTACTGATGGGCTAGCTCCTCAGTGTTTACATGGCAACAGGATAAACTATTATTAGTACTGCTCACATCGTGGTACAATATCAGAATGTTTTTGGCTGTGGTAGACCAGCTATACAGATGAGAAAGTTGAGTGCATTGATTTATTGAAATTACCTTTGACACTTTAGCTGTGATTTATTCTCAGTTTCTTTTCTGATGTCAGACTGTGAATTCTCATGTCCTTGAGAGAGGATTTCTGAAGACAATAAAGCATTGAATCATATTTAGTGCAATTAGTTTTTCTTGAATGCTTGCTATGTTTCTGACACTGCTGAGAACTGTGGGGGATACAAATGAAAGAGGAAATGCATGGTTTCTACCCTCAAATAACTTATAATTTATTACGAGAGACAAGGCATTCCTGAACCTGTTAAATTATAAGATAGGCAGTATATGATACGTGATACTTACAATGATTTAGTAGTTTAGAGAAAGGAAGGAACAGTGGGATTATTTAAAGAGCTAAAACACCTATAGTCTGCTTCTCTTACTTCTGTGCTTGAGGACTCCGAAACCCTATGAGAAAGGGTATAGGGAGAATGGAAGACGGCTTACTCATCTCTTACTTACTCGTTCCTGCATGTTGCTCCTGTATAGTCAGTGTCTATGGAAATTTGGAGACTGATGGGAAAATTATTTTCAGAAATGGAAGTGAAGGCAGTGGTGGGAGAGTATTATCCAACTGTAGCTCTTGACTTCTGTCCATCTGCCCAGAGCTGAGTGTACATATGTACTTTTCTAGCTACTGCAGTCCATTTCTGGATGGCCACAGATGTGTCTGAGGTCACAGGGACTCACCTTCGTTTCTTTTTTTTCAGATGAGTCCCAGTCAAATAGCTTTCAGGCAGCGAGAAACAGAGCCATATTTAGATTCCCCCTTTTTTCTTCACTGATTCTTCCTTTCTCTGACCTTCCTGCCCCATTTCTTATTTTTTTACTGATCTCTCTCTCTCCCTTCCTCCCAGCAGTACATATACTTTTTTCTAGTATTCCTAGTTTCTTTCCCAGAGCTATTAATGGCTTTTTACACACTATTGTCTCTAAGTCTTAAGAAGGAAAAAGAGAATGAAAAAACTGTTGCCAAACAAGACCCTTCCCTTCATTCTGTGTTTGGGAAGCCACCTCCTGGAATATAGCTCTTGAAGTTATTTGAATTATATTTGTTGTTCTCTACACATCCCAGTGTGCTCAAGATATTCCATAAAGGTTAGCGAGAGCAGTAACAGTCACCTGTCTTATGCAAGATGTTCTGGGCTTCATCCTAGATAGGTGGTGCTTTGCTGTATCTCTCTCATTCACTCCTTTACTCACTCACTCCTTCACTAAATAAAGAGGTAAGCTGAAGCCAGATCCCATTAGGTCTTCCAGGCCATAATGAAGGGTTTAGTTTTGACTCTAAAAACTGTGGGAGACTGGGGGACTGATACAGTCTGATGTGTGTTTTTAAAAGTTCTCTCTGGCTGCAGTGTGAGAATGGATGAGAGAGGTCAAGGGCAGGAGCAGGAGATCAGTTAGAGAGACTATTGCAGAATTCTAGGGTAGAGATAATGATGGCTTAGACTAGGGTACTTGAAGTGGAAATGGACCAATTCTTGCCAAAATATGTATTTGTAGGCCAAATCTTATTTCTTATACTAGTGTAGCCTTCATTTAGGACTGGGAGCTGGCTTTAGCACTCATGTGCTTAGGTTAGTGTCTGAGCAGCTGGTTCAGAATGCTAAAAGCCAGGCCTCATTGGATCACCTTATCGGATCAGATGTAATCCTGGCCCACTAGCCATCCGTGCTTGTTGTTGTGGCATGATGCTGCTCAGAATGTTTGTTTGACAACTCGAGTTTTGTTCCACCTTATATTCTGCTGACTTAAAATATTTTTAAATAAAAAAGAGATCTGATGGTTTAATAAATTGCAAATTCTTTATCCACCACTTCCAACTTTGTTTGCATTGTCATATAAGGTATTTCATTAAGTCATTCTGTTGAATTGAGAATTTTAATATCTTGGGCATAAGGATGTCAATGTTGCTTTGGAAAACACCATGTCAGAAAGCACTGGACATGGCAGGGTTCATTTCCAAAGATATTTGCTAAGGGCTGAGTGTGTGCAAGATAATCAAAAAGATGTGGTCTCTGCCTCCAAGAAGCTGAGAGGAAGGGAAAGTAACAAAAATCACTGAGTATCTTGAGTGCTAGCCTTTTACATCCACAACTCATTCAACCTTTGCAATGCCTCTGAGGTGGATGCTCTTCTTACCCCTATTTTGTGATGAAGAAAGGAGCACCATCATCTGTCTTGGGTCACACTGCTGTTCTGTCCAAAGCCCATGGTCTCTCCACTTTACACTCTAGGTGCCACCTCACAAGATGTCCGATGTCTTCTGTTTGAATACTGCCCCTGCCCCTTTACAGCTGCAAGATCTTGGAGAAAATGTCTTAATCTTTCGGAGCCTCAGTTTCCTTATCTATAACATATGGATAATAGTATTAATCCCAGAAAGGTATGGATGACGTGTGTATGAAAGTTCCTGGCACACAGTAGCCAGCAGCTAAAGTTTGTGTTTCCTTTCTTTTGTGAAGCAGCAGTATGGCAAGGAATCTGTGATGTGACTTTGCTGTGGAGCCCTAAGCAAGCATGGCAAGGCATTGTTTTAATCAACCTCACAACTGTCAGAATAGCCTATGTTATGCATTTGGGCTTAGGGATAGGAGAGGGCTGCAAGATTGTTGGGTTTGTTTGTGGGATATCTGTGTCTGAGAAGAGAGGCATTCTCAGGCTCCCTGGCCAATTTCACTCAATTCAGGTAGCAATAGGCAAGGAAAGAGGCAGTTGTGTAGACCTGTAAATGAAGGCCTCAGATCCTCAGGGGTCAATTTTGTGTGTCCTTGTGAGCCAAAATTAATGGATATTTCCCTTTTAAGGATCACGTCTACAGGCAATATCCAATGGAATAAAGGGGCCTTACACTATCTTTTTCTGAGGGATCATATTTATTTGCTCAATCCTTGATGAGAACCAATTTGCCTTCATTGAAACTAGACCTGTAAGCTTTGATGAACTGACAGGAGGGAAAATAACCACAACAACCACCTTCCAGTCTGTGTCAGGCTCTTAAAAATAATGCCTGGGACAATAGTACTGCTAGTTTTTCTACAAAGTGGCCCATTATACGCACATGAGGAAGATAAGAAACTACCACTCTGGGTGAAAAAAAAAGGCCAAAAGGCTAATCTTAATTATTGAACTGTTGATCTCCCAAGTTTTTTAGAATGGATTGTGGAGGCGACATTTGGGGGAGATTCTCAGTCTCACTGTGGTTTATTAAAATCATCAAAACATGGATGATTGCTGGAACTTTCGTCTTCTTCCCTTACTCTCTGTCTGCTTTGAACCAAATCTTGTCTGATAGAGATGGGGGCACCCAGAGACCTTGTCAGGCTCATCAAATGTCCTCTCAGCTCTTGGCTTGCTTCTCTTTCAATTCTGTTTTCCTGTAATACTATCTATTCCACACCAGCAGCCAGTCTCCAGCAATCTAATGAAGGCTCTGCAAGGGGTACTACCAGTGTGTTCACATGATCATGTGTGTTTCTAAATTTTGCAAAAGCAAGATGGTTTAAATGCAATTACTCAAGATCACCCCTTGCTACTCTGACTTCTTCTCTGTCACGATTTGTCAGCTGGCATCTGAGTGATGGGCGTGTTTTGGGTCTGGCTAAGAGGAAGTTGAACTGGGATCTGTGTAGTTTAGTGGGATATTTTTATGTAGCTTGCAGTCCCTTTCATGGCCATCTGGGTGAGGAATGGCTTCTAGGAATACTCCTACCACCCACAGGATGACTCACCCAGTGTGGATGGTGAGCAAGGGCGAGGGCTGGTGGTCTTAAGGATATGAGCCAATACTATGGCACTGGAAGTTCAGGGGTAGTGGAGGGCAAAAAGGTTTGAAGCAAGGTTTGAGAAGCTTGACTGGAAAATTCGTACCTTCGGAGACATAGAATTGTGAGAAGATTGATACCTAGCCACATATATTCTCCCCTGTCTGGAATACATTTTATAATACCGAGTATACAATTATAAACTCACATATATAAGTATATATATTTTTTTCATGTAAGTAGCATGGAATAGATTTGATCAGAATTCTTGTGTTTGTAGGGCACAGCCTGTTGGCAGTACAGCAAGAATGTCTGTGTGAGAAATTGCAAGTTTTGTGCATCCCATTCTGGATCTCATCTTATTGTGTCTGTTGCATCTTGTTCCGACAAGCTTGGTGGTTTTAGAGGAAAGGATCTGCAAAATTGCCACCAAAGAAAGAGAAACGCCCTGAGAAATAAGTGTTCTGGTGACAAAAATCTCACATATATTCATTAATAAGTCACAGTATGCAGTGCAAGAGGAATTCAGTTATTCAATTATGTAGCTCAGTGCAATGTAGGAACATCTGAATTGTTCTTGTGGATGCCTTATTTCAGGTTAATTTGTATGTTTGGATTTTTTTTCAGAATTATGGTTCATACTGAAATACAGATGTGAAAGGAAGGATGTATCTCTATTGAAAGCCAAAAGTGTAAATCGAAAGAACATATTTGTGATATTTGTCACCTTTTAAAAAATTTGTAATACCTGTAATTTCTTTCCTCATTCTCAATAAATATTCATTTTCGTATCTAATTTTGTATTTTATTTTCCTTAAAGACGGACACAGTGTTTGTATAAGCTTTAGGCCCCACAAAACCCAGATCGGGCCTGTTCCATACCTTCGCTCTCAAGTGGACATACTTGTTAGCAGCTGGGAGTCCATGTGTAGAGGGGAAGCAGCATGCTGTAATGGAAGGAGAAACCTTCATTCTACCACCTATGAGCTGTGTGGTTTCAGCTGGTTTCTTAGCCTTTCTTAACTTTAGTTTCCTCAGCTACAAAGTTTGGATAAGGATACTTCACGGGATTGTCATGAGGCCTAAAGGAGCACTTAGCATAGTGCTTGGCGTGTAATAAGCACTCAGTCAGTATTATTTTCCTTTTTTCCTTGACTTCTCTCAAATGGTTTGCAGGTTTATCTTAGGTCAGGGACCTAGGTGAAGAAATATTTTGTGTTTTCAAAATGAGTTTTGATATAAGGGGATGAAAAAGAGAGTTGGGGTTTCCCCTGTGACTCTTGTCTTTAAAAAGCCCTGGACAAAATGAATCATTATGGTATTTTCTCTGGGTATAAAGCAAAGAATGAAGTGCTTTCATCAGCTGTGTAGAGTATTGGGCCACAAGTTCCAATTCAGTGTCTGACACTACACACATACACACTCTCACTCACTCACGTTTATTTATTTGATATGGCCCAAGGGTTAGATTATTCTGAATCACTGCAATTTCTCTACAAGCTTCGTCTGTCCATCAAAAAATATTGATGAGCAAAGCCCCAAGCCAGGTACTGGATTCTCATGACATGTAGGAATCTGAGACCTATGGTTTGCCGTTCATGGGGTGTCCTAATGAGCTACAGTACCCTGGAACAGCACGATCTTTCTGATATATTTGCTTCGGCCACGTGCACACAGAGATAGCGTCTGTGAGGTGGGAGTGGGAACTGGAACACAAAGTTAGCTAAATTTGGACTTTCTGTCAGGGTATGAGTTAGTCCTCACAGCAGACTAGACTACAGCCTATGTTGCTGGACAATGAACTCTTTTCTTTGAGGGCAAAATCCAAGAATACCTTTTTTTCAGCGCCTACCAGGGCTAGTACATAGTAGGTGTTTGTAGTATTTATTGAATTGGTTTATAGTCTACATCCAGTCAGGGTAAAAAGAAAGACTTTTAAAATGCCCAAAGGGTTTTCCTTTTTGAGAAAAAACTGCAGCTTTTGATTAATAAGCATGATAATTATGTCCCTTGCCCTGTTGTTTTGGAAGAAGGAGACTGTGTTTGAAATGGGGAGTCAGAAACAGTCTACTTCACACACTTTGCCTCTAAGCTTTTCCTTCTCTGTGTGAAGGAAATCAAGCTGAAGCAAGTCCGGTGAAGTCTGAGAAGTTAATGTACTAGTGAAGACAAAACAATTGCAAGCAGACTGTCAGCTGAGTGAAGGGCAGTGTGGATAGACCTACCAGCAGTCAGACAGAAGACTTGTCCTGAGACCACCTACTTCTGTCCCCCTGTCGCTGGCACACGACTGATTTGTAATGAACAATTGTTGGTTAAATAAGAAAGTCTGTGTGATACATGTCATAATAAGTTATACATTTACCTACTAATTGTTTAAGAAACCTGAGTGCGTACAGCTTACCTATATTTTCTTTGAGGCCATCTTGGTTAATTTTCCTGCTTTCTAAACTACTGAGTTGATAAATTCACTGAGGTGTTGTCAGAGTGAACCTACCTAATCTTATTAACATCTTGGTGTCTAGATAAGATCTACCTGGGATCTAGTCTATTTGGCTGCTAAACACACACACACACACACACACACCCCACACAGATAAGTTTGTTTTAAGAATATTCATCGATGTCCACTGTGTACCAGGGAGTGTGCTGAGCACTGAGGATGAGAGCCAGGTATAATCCTGTCCCTCTTGAAGCTTACAGTGTAGAACAGATGACCTGAGCAGCCAGGTCTCTTATTTGAGCATTGCAGGGGACCTACGGCTTATAAAAGCTTCCAGCATTGTGTTCAGAGCTGGCCAGGCTTGCTGCTTCTCTTCACTTGCCGTCCGGAAGGGCAAGACACGCAGGTTACTACTGAGATAAATGCCCCATTCGTTGTCTTCTGGCCCACATAAACCTTGATCCATTAAATTATCATATAAAAAACAGAAAAAAGTTTCAGAGAATGATAATCTCTTAAATAGCCATGTTTTAAATGCTAACTCTCAGAGTAAAATATTAAATAGGGTGAATTGGTAATTTTAAGACCCTTAATAATAACTACCCTTACTTGTAGTCGTTTTGCTTTGTACAGAGATTATAGGGATAAGTTTTAATTCTGGTTGGAAAATAGCATTTAAATAGTACTTAGCATTTTTTGTCAAATTTTTAATAGGTATTTGGAGTCATTGAGATTTAACTCCCTGTATGTTCAGGAACGTTAGTTGTTTCAGACTGGACTATGACTAGCTAGAGCTACTTGAATAAAATTCCTGCAATTCATCCATTCTTCTCCTACCAGCAGGTGTCATTATGGAAATATGAAAATACTGTAAATTCCAAAGTTGTAGGAACTGGCTGTGAGAAAGAGGAGTAGCGCTTTGGATGTTGAAAAACAAGGAAAAGTGAAGAAATCATTTGGTGCTAACCAAGGATGGCATGTTTAATTACTAATTTGGCAATCTTCTACAGTATAATGTAACTGACACAGGATTTCAAGGCAAGAACTTAATTTATTTTAATTAGATTAAGCAAATATTTATTAAGACCCGTTCTAGGCTCATAGGAGTCTTAAAAGAAAAGTGACACATAATTCTTAGCCTTAAGGAGCTGGCATGATATCTGGGGAGAAATGGATATTCATGAAATAATTAGTTAACATTGTAAGTCAGTTCTTCTTTTTAACATGTCAGATTGAAGTGCATAGATAGTAAAAGTAGCAGAAGTTCCAGCTGGAGGGGCTGTGTAGTACTGTTGATTCTGCATTAATCAAAGAATACTTTTTATGTATTTAAGTAGACAGGAGCCTCAAAATTATTTGGTAACTTGATAGCTCATTCTTCCCCTTCTTGCTAACTGCTATCACCTATCTTTCTCCATATGTCTAAAGTAATAATTATAGTAATTATGTGTGTATTGGTTAACCAAGGATGTAATGGTTGTAACAGTTTGTTATAATCAACTGATAATATGATTAAGTCTTTCTAAAAACTAAGGTAAACACTACAAATGAGTGTTTTCACTAGGGAGACTTACACCAGGCGACGGGATATGAGTATTAATATACTAGATCAGGAGCAATGCCTCTATCTACCCTATTTTCCTCTCTAGACTGTGAGCTCTTCCAAGGCATGAGATATGTGGCATTTCCCTTTTCATTCCTGCCACTCTAATTCTGTGTCTCTGTCTTTATTGAGCTCTCAGTACATGTTTGTTGAATGATGAAATGAATGATAATATCACCAAAGGATAGGGTATTGGCAATATTTCATACATTGTTTTGTTAGAATGTATGTTGATATTAGACTAAGAAATCTCAGATTGAATAATTTAGAAAATTGGATTGAAAAATTGATAGATCCTAAAGTTTTCTCTTTTGATTCCATCCAAGGAAATGTGTTTCAAAAATTATTTCAGCATGCTATATGAAGGAAATTATAATTCATTTAAATAGAATGTGCTTAATTTTAGACTGAAGGATGTAGTATATACTATTCTTTATTTCATAACCTTTTCAATAACTTGTGTCTGTGGTAGTAATCAATCTTTTTCATTGCAGAGTTTGTTTGCTGCACTCACACTAATTCTTTTTATTTGAAAGCCATTATAAATTCACCAGCTGCCACATGGTGAGGTTGATGTCCTCAGCCTACCTTTGGTATATTGATCTAGCTACACTTTATTCATCACTTACATCTCCAGCTGTTTACTGGACTTTCCCACTTTGATTTTCTCTTGTCACCTCCAACTTAACATGTCAAAAGGGAAATCATCATTTTTACCTGTCAACCACCTCCTTCCTCTGGCCATCCCTTTTCTCTTAATGGTACCATCATTTTTCCAGCCCCCAGGCTAAAAACTTTGATATTTTCTTTCTCTTAATCCCTTCCCCTATCCAACCAATCAACAAATCATTTATAATTCTTTTGTGATGCTTTTGACATCAGTCCTTTTCTTTGTTTTCATTCCCACTCCCAAGATCTAGTTGGACCAGGCATGAATGAAATAGCTTCCTGGATCATCCTGTTACAGATTCTCCTCTTATTTTTCCCCCGTGAACGAACATTTTAGTTAGAATCATTCAAACATCAGTGCCAAGTCCAAACTCATTAGAGTTGCCATGGCCCCTCATGATATGCTATCTGATCCCCATTCTAACTCAAATCTTGTACACTTCAAATGCTTAGCTCTAGTCCTATGGCAAAATGTAATTTCCCAGTCTAGCCAGTCTCTCTCTAACTTCTAGATTTTATTTTATTGTGGTAAAATATGCGTAACAGAAAGTTTACCATTTTAATGATTTTGGTAAAAAATGTGGTAAATTTTTGTAAAAAGTGTACAGTTCAGTGGCATTTAGTACATTCATATTGTTGTGCAATTATACCACTATCCATCTTTAGAACTTTCTAATCTTCCCAAACTGAAACTCTATACTCATTAAACAATAACTTTCCATTGCCCTCCCCCTAGGCCCTGACAACCACCATTCTACTTTCTGTCTCTGAATTTGACTATTCCAGGTACCTCACATAAGTGGAATTACTTAATATTATAATAAATATAATATGATATTATCTGTTTGTGTCTCTCTTATTTTGCTTAGTATGTCTCAGGGTTCATCTGTGTTGCAGTATGTGTCAGAATTTTCTTCCTTTTTAAGGCCGAATAGTATTCCATCGTATGTATAGACCACATTTTGTTTATCCACTCATCCATCAAGGGACGTTTGGATTGTAGTTTCTCCTCTATTAACACATTCTACTAATTGCAAACAGATTAATCTTCCTACGCTTTACTTCAGTTATATAACTTGAC